CCTGACATCAGTGTGGCCAATCTTCATTTGCTTCACTGTCAAAGGGTATTGGGTACTGGGGAGTATTTTACACAGAAACCCGGATTTAATGAATGTATTGCTGGTCCTTGAAAAGCATGGGTTTACTAACTGAGCCAACTGACAGAGCGAAAATACCCAAATTCATAAGATTCCCCCCAAAAAATCACTGTGATGCATTAGACAAAACCAAAAACCTAGTACGTTAGTCTAAATAACCATCTTAACTATGGACATGCAAGTAAATTATCCAAATTAATTAGGAATACTTTTTTTATTTCAACCACTCTATAATTCTTTTATAGCCAAACAGCTTCATTGCCACTTAACCCTTTAAGGACACATGATGAAAATTTTCCGTCATGGTGGCCTTTTCCATCTGCAGCTGTGTCCTTAAGGCAGGGGTGTCAAACATGCGGCCCCCCAGATGTTGCTGAACTACAACTCCCATGATTCCCTGGCTATCTGTTTCATTGAAAGAATCATGGGAGTTGTAGTTCAGCAACATCTGGGGGGCCGCATGTTTGACAACCCTGCCTTAAGGGGTTAAAAAAAAAAAAAACACCCTTCTTAAATAATAAAATTATTTTTATAGTGCTTGTATATTCCATAGCGCTGTACAATAGGTAAACAAGACAAGCAACTATTTCTAACAAAACATGTTCGACATACGGGAACATTGGGTGAAGAGGGCCCTGCCCACGTGAGCTTACAATCTAAAATCTTTGTTCCACATTCAGATCTGACAACTTCTTGTATTAATACTGAACAGAATAGTATATAAACTGAGCAGTTGTTATGTGGTATGGAGTTTCAGGTCATTTTCGTGGTCATAGGGAACTAGGCAAAGATAATATAACCCATAAATAATATACCAATAGACATTTACTTAAGGAGTTTATTCAGCTACCTATAAAAAAAATAGAAAATGGCAAATATAATGAAAATGATAAGTTCGCTATGATGCTATATAACAATATCTCCTATTCAGAATATATGTATCAGTAATGATGTATTTTGCAAATCACTTTAATTTATTACAATATGTAAAAAAAAAAACACCATAGAAAATCTATAATACGACACATTAGTTAAAGAAAAGATCTATCGATAAACGCCATCCTTTCACTTACACATTTATAGAAGAATGTAGTTCTTTAGAAATATACACGTTTAGTAAGAGTTTATATAAAGATTCTTCATTTGATTGTGCTCACGTGGAACAGAGAGATGTTCAATGGTATAGGCTACAAAAGAAATGGTATTTATGTTAAATAACTCACTTATAAACATGCATAGGAAAGCAGTCATGAAACAATGATATTGTAATTTGCTTTGTGGCCTCGTATCAAGGCCCGCTCAAAGGCGATTTCTTCTGCAAAGTAGCAGTTCTTGGATGCTGACACAGAAACAGTATGTTCTGAAAATTCCTAGAATTCTTACAATAATGAAATGGATCACTTCATAGTCAGCCGTGCTGATTCAGGGGGCTAGATGCACTAAGCCAGCCTTGCAGGCGAGGTTGTGATCCGTGCTGCGTAACGAGGTCATGACAAGCGAATGCACAAAAGAATTAGGTATGCAATGCGAGGTGTTGTGGCTAAACCACTTGCATACTTAATTTTGCCAAGCTCAGTGTACTGTTCACAGCTCGGCTTCTAATTCTGAAATACGGTTTTTAATATTCCGAGTGTAGGTTTTTATTTGATGTCTGCCACAAAGTACTGACGGGTTGAGAGAGTGTCGATGGACTGGATCATCTGTAAAGAGAGCTAAAGACACAAAGATTTAGCTTTATTTTCATCATCTGAGATTGCTAAAATGTCTAGTATTTAAAGGGACACGATAGGCATCCAGACCACTTCATCTCACTGAAGTGGTGTAGGTGCAGTATCTCTGCCCCCCTTTGTCCTGCAGTGTTAAACATTGCAGTTTACATTGCAGTAGTAAGACAGCCACTAGAGGACTCTGAGTACCTTAAATGGTGCTGGACGTTCTCACACTCTAATGAGGACATCCAGTATCAGTAAACTTCATAAAGGGAAGTTTGAGCCAATACTCTTCTATAGCGAGGGACTAATGTGTTTTCTGCGCATGCTCATTAAATGCCCCCGTAGGATGACATCGGAGGAGGCGGAGCACCGACCCAGCGCCAAGGGACATCAGCGCTGGTATCGGGTGAGTAAATAAATGGTTTGTTCCGGAGTGGGGACCTCAAGGGAGGGGTGGGGAGGGATCAGAGGGCAACATGGTGTGTTTGTGTTAGAAATACAGATTTGTATTCCTAACACGATAGATTTCCTTTAACCAGTTCATCGTACCTAAAGGTAGAGGGAAGGTATAACAGGATGTGCTATGGGTCTGGCAATGAATATATCAGAAGAGACCGTGTTATATCCTTATATACAGAATTAAGAAAGAAACTGGGGGATTTATTACCAGGCTGGACTTTACGAAACACATACACTTCCTAAATGGTGGAAGCAAAATATCTGAAGATAGGTTCTGAACTGTCATAAACCAGGAAATCTGAAGAGAGAATAAATTATATAACAAATCACAAGAAGAAACCTGTTAAACTTCTAATAAATTCTCTTAGAGAAGCAAAACTATAAAAGGGATTAGAGCATAAGTGGTTCTCAAATATGTATTTATCTAGGAGAAAAAGATGATTTAAAATGGAAAATGCGTGTAAAATTCTTCATGCGTCATGATGCTGGTTTAACGTCACCAGTGGCTGGGGCACGCCATCATTGGCACTGAAGTCAATCACTGACTGTGTCTGGCATCAAACACACTAGCCGTGCACTTCAACAATGCACCACCCCATCGCAAAGGTGGCAGGAAACCTGACAGAATATATACAATAGAATGTTAATTTCACACATTTTAAAACATAACGTGCAAGTAAAACCGTTGTCGACAATGCCGAAATAAGTGTATACCCGCACAAAGTGATCTCAATGCACGTTTTTAATATTGTAATATGGATAGGTATTTGTCCTTATGCCCATGTATTAGCCAAGTCTTGTGCAGAACCGAGCAGAATATTAGGAACTGAAATTTGGGGTGCCAAAAAATAAGAACCATTTTTGGTCACACGACTGTTCATATGGTCACTCACAAGAGCTGTCTCCTAACGGAAGAGAATTAATAAAATACCTACTTAGAAGTCTACCTTTCTCACTGCCGCCATTTTCCTTAAGGAACTTTTGGTAGATGAGGTTCCAGGGACATTGACTAAGATAAGCAGAGACTTACTACCTATATCATTTTTGCCTTAATTTCCCTTTGCCAGCCCTTCTTCCTAAACTATATATGAGGCAGAATTGATTATGTATAACTTTTGACTTAATTGTGCTTGCTATAAAATTCTATTAGATTCTAAAGCAATCTATGTGATCATTTTCATAAAACAATTACCCTTGTGAAGTACTCGAACTTGGCAGGCATCTTTAAAGTATACGGACACTCCCATAAGGATATTAAAATTATAATTTCAATCAAACATGTCACCGTCACAGATCTCTCCCCTATACCTTCCTATGGAACAGTTTAGATCAAACAGGGACCTAAGTGCATGTCCAAACTTTTTGTATGGTAGCACAGCGTACAGCGCTTCATATGCTGTGTATCATCAAACATTTTTGAATAACGGACACATTTTTCACAATTCAGCATTTGCATGCTGGCCAAGGTAAGCTTCCCTGCAGCACTCGCCTGAACCCATTAATATATTTAAGGTTTCTTCCCTCCAAGCTGTATGGATCAATCCATTTAAATCTTCCTGGCTGTGTATTGTTATTTAGAGCATGCATACAGCCCCCAGGTGGTAGAAGTGATAATTGTAGCGAGAGTTTGTCATATGCAAGAAAAAAAAAGATTGTGACACAACTGAGAAAATTTACGTTTTAGCCACCTCTGCATTCCATCACCCCCGGAGACTTGGACATATATTGGTTATCAGCTTAATTAGATTAAGAGGAATCCAAAACGTTTAATGTTTGGCTGAGGAAGAATTCAAGTCACAATTAGCGTGAAACCTATGGCAAGCTGTACATGATGTAAAACAAGGATTCGTCTCCTTGAAATTAATTTTATTCACCTGGGACAAGAATGGACTCATCTGACGGATGGACTCATGATCTTCTCCACTTCTGATGGCTGCTCACAGTTTAACCAATAAACCCATCAGTGTGATTTTTTAATTTAGCTATGGCAGTGATCAGGGAATTTACATAGTCAACTCCCAATGATAATGCCGGGGATATAAAATATCTTTAGTGTATACTTACCCGATGTCTTCCGTAATAGTTCTTTGACTGAAAGCGTGAAAGTATCGAGTGATCGGGTTTCACACATTG